CCATCCATCCATCCATCCAACAACCCATCTATCAGGGTGCTCAGGGAAGGGCTTGGTATCACCTACCCCATCCCACCCACCCACCCCTCCACCTGTCCAAGTTCCAGCCATCTCACCCTATCCATCCATCTGTGCTCTCTTTCCAAAATTTTGCACCTAGCCTATAAGGAGAAAGCTGCTAGGTGGAGACCAAGTGAATCCTGAAAGCAGGCCTTTTGGACAGGAATCCTGGTGTCCTGGTACCGTAGGTCTACTAGGGGGCTTGGTCCAGGAAACTCCTCCAGGGGGAGAGTGTCCCTGGAAGTGCAATGGTATAATGTAGGACAAGTAAGCAGGGAATTAATAAATTAAGGGGACAGGGCACATATCCCCTCGAAGGTGGGTACAGGAAAAGGACCCAGTCACCTAGAGCTAGGGAAAGTATGACACAATATAATGCTAAGGTATTCGCATGAGATTGAACCATGTCTTTTGTAGTTCACAAATGGTCAGGTATGAAAGATTTCATAAGGCTCCCTCTAGTACTTATGAAAGATATTAAAAGAAACATGGGTAATTAAAAAAGACAAAGATGGATGCCTTGAGAACAGCTAAGGAAAAGAACCCACAACACAAAGTAAAAGGAATATCCCTGTATCATGTCACTCTCATAGCAAATACTTGAGACTCAGTTGTCAGTTATTTTTTTTTTTAAAGATTTGTTTAGAACTGGGGTACAGGCCTGTGGTGCCGGGAATATGAGAGAGTTCACCAGAGACAGAGTGGGGAGCAGAACAGGCTGACTGATGAAGTACACTGATGAGGGGAGCAGCAGACAGGTCAGGAATGGTCTGCCACGCCATGTGGATCATCTCCAGGGCTGGGATCGAGCTCATTCTTACGTGTCTTTAGCTTTTTAGTGCTGTGCTTTAACCCTCTGTGCCACCAGGGAGGGCCCAGTATCAGTGACTTTACAGTTGAAAACTGTGAGCCTCGGACAGGGTGACTTGCTCAAGATTAGGATGGGGAAGTGACCTTTGAAGCCATAAATTTATCTCTTGACGGTGTACCACTTGCACAGGGGGCCCAAATTAATGTGGTATTCCTCCTCTGTCACTGCTTTGGGGTGCTCAGTAGTTGTTTAACATGGGCCCTACATTTCCACTTTGAGCTGGGTACTACAAATTATATAGCAGCCTGATTTCTGGCCATAAAGCCTGTGCTTTTCCTAGTATATGAACTACCTTCTTCCCAGGCACAAAAAGGCATCCTTTTTTTTCTTTATTTCTTCTGTGCCTTTCTGATTTCTGGAGATTTATTCTCTTTTTGTGATTCCATAAGGTAGCAACCTTTTTAAATTCCATTGATTTGCCATTCACTTACAAAATTATGTAATTTGGGGATGATAACTTCACAACTGAATGAATTCATGTTTCACTACCTACCACCAAAGCCCCATGTAATGATGTTTACTCCCATTATTTTCTCCCTCTTCCCCCATAGTAACTACCATGTTTTTCAGACTATGAGAGTTATTTTTGTTGTGTTTGCCAGACTCTTTTCTTTGGTTATTTATATTCCACAAATGCAATGAAAACATTGTAATTGTCTTTCACTTTATGAAATATTTAAATTAGCAAACTCATAAGTTCCATCTACATTTTCCAAAGGAAAAATATACAATTCCATCTTTTTAATAGCTGAGTAGTATTCCACTGACTCTATATACCACTGTTTATTCATTCATCAATAGACATTTAGGCTGATACCATGTCTTGGCAATCACAAATAATGATGGTATGAACATAAAGTTGCATATATTTGTTAGTGTTTTCATATTCTTTAAATTCTTAGAGGTGGTATTGCTGGACTTTTCATACAATTTTCCACATAGGCTGACCAATTCATATTCTTACCAATAACGAGTGTTCTTTTTTTTATCCACATTCTAGCTAATATACTTGTTTCCAGTCTTTTTTGATATATATCATTCTCCCAGGAGTAAGGTAATATCCCATTGTGGTTTGACATGAACTTTCCTAGTCATTTGCCCATCTCCCAAAACACTGAAAACAGCTTACCATTTTCTAAAATTTAAAACAACTTATTAAATTTTAGGTCTAGGGGCTGTACATATGAGTCTCCATATTTGATAGTGTTCTCTCCCAAACCTTCTGTTTACTCCCATTTGGTAAAAACTAATACCAGAAACAGATTTCCCTTGGACAAATATCTTTGATCATTCATTACACATTGAATTGAGTAAAGTTAAATTGAGAGACCCAACCCTTTCACTCCCCAGTCCCTTAAGGGACTCATCAGATATTTGCCAGACCACCTGACTTAATGCTCAAATTCGCCCTTACTTGAGCTACTCTAACTCTCTCCTTTCATGTTTAAGTTATTCATTACAACATTTTTAATAGCAAAAGATTGGAAATAGTTTATATGCCACCAATAAGGAAGTGGTTAAATAAACTATTGACCCTTCATAACTTGGAATACACTGCAAATATTAAAAAGAAGAAAATGTAAAAGTAAATTCCTTATTAATATAGAAGTAGCTTTAAAATATATGCGGGGATAAACAGAATAGAGAATAAAATCTAGAGAACACTATTTTTTGTGTAAGGTAGAGGAAAGTAGATACAAATAAGAATGTAAGCATATTTACTCCCATCCGTATAAATAACACTGGAAAAATAAAGATTAATAAAAGTGGTTATTAGGGGTGTGGAGGAGTGTGGGTGAGGGATAGGCATAGGAAGGCGACTTTATGTATACTACTACATATTATTTGGCTTTTGAACCTCAGGAAAGTGTTTCAAAAAGATGATAATCACTTACCTTCTAAGTAAGCTCTATTTCTGTGTAGACGATTCAGAATGCCTGCAGATTTTTCTTTCTTCAAGAACAAAGTAGATGAGGCATATTTTACAGAGTCAAATATGTCCTGACAGATTTGGGTCAGGCCATTCAACTGGAAGTTGCTGCTTTTACAAATGTTCAAGAATATACAGAAAATGATCATATTTTTTTTCTACCTGAAGGAGAGTCTCCTCATGATTACTATTTCTTAAATTTAGAGGTTTGAATGATTTAATTTTTCTCATGGATTTTCACATTGTGTGAGACCTAAATTATAGATTTTTAAAGAATACTTATTTAAAAAATATTTATTTACTTATGCATACAGAGCAGGGGTGGTGAGGGGATTCACCAGAGACAGAGAGAAGAATAGAACAGGGTGACTGACAAAATACACTGCTGAAGGGAACAGCCGGCAAGATAGTAGAGGTCTGCCGCACCTGTGGGCCACCTTCGGGACAGGGATCAAACTCATGCTGAGGTATCTTTAACGTCTTAGTGCTGTGCTTTCACCCTCTGTGCCACCAGGGAGGGCCCCTAAATTATAAATTTTAAAAAGTTTCTTTGCTATTAAGATTTTTACTTTTTTTGTCTTGCCCTAATAGACAAACAAAACAAAATGTTATAATTAAGCCAAATCATTCCAATCTTTTGATTTTAATAACTCATTCATTTAATCTACTCATTTTTCAACATAAAATAAAAGATTAAGGAAGGCTCTCCCTAGAAGTGACATTTGTGCTAAAGCATGTAAATATGTAAGAACTGTCCAAGAGAAAAGGTGAAGAAAACATGAGAATACAATAGAAATGTTCACAGCACACTTTCTTCTCG